TTATAATTAAATCAATAATAAACCTGTAATCGCAGCAACAGCTTTGACCGCGGAGCGAGTGCTTTCCAATTATCAACGCAATTTAAATAATTATGTACCAAAAGATTCAACCAACAATGTAATTAAAGCGACAAATTGCTTGTTTTGTTCGTTGTAGTAAAAAGGCTAAAGAAAATTAATATAATTGACTAATTTCTAATCACAGACTACGTTATGTTCTTTATAGTTGAGTGTAGTTTCACACGAGGGTATAGCACATACAATAGGGTTTTTCACACCAGGGTAGAGTACCTTTTTATAACATAAGGTGGCCAACGAGCAGCCAATATGGTGAAGCGACCGCTGCCCATAGACATCCGCAATTGCAGATGCGTTGCCTACCCTTAACCGACGGAGAAGACGCACTTAAAGAGGACACTTCCCCTTCGTATGCATCTCCTCCACCCTCAAATCCACTTCCCCTTTTCATCCTCTCTTTTTAAAAAAAGGGTAGTGAAGAGAAAGGAACTTTAATTAGGCCTCGGGCACCACACTCATCAGACGAAACAGAAAATTGCTTCCATTTCACGCCTGTCTTCTGTGTGGTCGTGGTATTACACCGGGCGTGCCGGCCCATTCGTGCTAAGATGTTAAAGCGGGCACTACCACTGTAAAAACCTGCAGTACCCTGCATGTACCTACTCGACTAACTCTTTTACTAAAATTAATTTAAAAAAACAGCTACTGCTGTTGCTATGCAAAAAATAGGCTAATTTAGTTAAAATTTAATATAAAAAATAAAACACGGTCTCATTTTAAAATGTTTAATAATTCATAACTTTGACACGTAAAAAATATATTAAAATACAAGTAAGACATAATTAACATAATTGTTCGATTTTAAATTATTATTAAATAATAATAAATAATTAAAAAATACTTTTATTTTTAAAATACTCGTCCATTTAACTTCGAATGAAATATTAAAAAAATAATACAATTAAACGATTTTTATTCCATTGAAATCTTGTATTTTTAATCAATTCCGATATATTAGGGAATAATTAAAAATTAAATGACAATCTATAAAATTCTATGTTACACTAAGCGTGGATTTCCATTGCCCAAACACATTAAAAATTATCTTTAGTATAGACGTTAACAAATATGTCGTCGGCTCGGAGCTTAGTTGGAGTGGTACAAAAAATATAAGTGAATTAACAAATATCCACTAACAAAAAAAATACCTTCATAATCTGAAAACTAATCCAAAGACTAATGGCATTTTCATCTGAAATTGGTTAGTATAATTTCTCATTTGAATTTACTTCGACAAGTACACAGAGCCGTCGAGATATTTGATACTGTCTATACTATTTTTACGCTTGTGTTTCGAAAATTGAAACTCACATCTAAAAGCTAACTATAAAGCCTTCGTTTCGATGTGGCTTACGATTCACTAAAACAAAACTATGTATAAAAAACAGTGCTACAAACTTATATGACCTGGCACTACTATCGAAGTTAGTTCAGTAAGAAAATGTAGAATATGTAAGAATTCGTTGACACAAACAAAGATTATCGCAAATAAAATTGAGCTTTATTCTATAGGAATAAGGTTTAATTTTACTTTACACGTGTATTTTACGCTCTAATTAAAGACGTGCAAATGAAATTCAACCCTATTCCTATGACATAAAGATCCATTTTATTTACGATACAAATAAGCTATACTTCAGTCTGTCAAATTGGTGACACTTTTGAAACTACCTGCCGGGTCAAATAAGCCGCACTATATCAAATTCCTTAGAACACGCACACCTTTGACTAAACTATCGCACAACTGTTATGCGATTATGCGATTGTTTTTGCCTTCAACTGGTTAGTTGCACAATTAAAAATCCAGTTGTACACCTCCATAGCTAATAGGAATCGAAGCGAGACAACAGTCGTGCGATAGTTTAATCAAGTGTGCGCGCTCTATAGAAGTCATGTCATTTCAAATCTATTGTGCAAAGATATAAAATATATTGTCAAATATTTATTACTCGCTTACTATAATAAATGGAAACATTCTTAAATTAATTCTAAATTATGTGTTTAAAATATATCAGTATATATAGAATATTTGACTCTGGGAGTTATAACAAGTTTTTGGCTGTCCTAAATTGGGGTAATTTTCTTTTATTCTTAAGTCATAGCCCCTATATGTTAGACCCCGAGTCATTAATTGATTATTAAGCTCCCTTAGTGTAGATTCACCTTTAGTAAGAAAATCTGTACTAAGGGACGCTTAAAGACTATTAAATTGTGATTGAGGTGACGATAAATTCCTCAATAAATTCCCCAAAGTGTTTTTTTCTTACTGTCTATACTTTTACTTAATTATTCTAGATTAGGCATAGACTGTATAATTCCTGGATTGAGGTTACACGATATAAGTACTTTAACACAAACAGCCTTAAAAATAAACGCGGTATAAAATTATACCTAGGAATAAACTGAGTAGAAGAAAATTTGTACATTTGTTTATTCCAAGTTAAACTATATACCGATTTTATTTGTAAAGCTGTAAAATTCAACATTTATTAAAAATCTTCATATTTACAATCTATTTTGTCACATATTTTCTAATCATAAAATACTAATAAACTAGTCTTTATGTAGTTCTGATACAATTGCCGTCTCTTTCTTTTTCTATGAATAGAACAGAGACACATTTTTTCAAATTTCGAACAGTTTTGATATAAAAAAATAAAATCGATCGAGAATGTTCCATTCTGTATTCTAAAGGAAGCCTTATTCTATACGACGTAAGGTTCAAAGTTCATTGTCATTTGGAATGTGTGAGTTATTTGTCCTGCAGTTGCACGTAGTTGGCGGGGAAGAGGCCGTACGCGCCTTTACACAGACCCTGCCACCAGCCCTCGTCGATCTGTATCAAGATCATTCAATCATTCGTTCAATCATTCACTTGTGAGTATGTAGTTCAAATCATTCAACGCTTGTTATTAGACATAAATCTACAGACTGAATAGTGTTCAATTAAGAAAGTAATCATTCCTTTAAAGTACAGCCGCGGAAACCTGCGGTGATTTACTTAGAAAAAAAACAAGGCGTTTTTGTTTTTTTTTTGTAGTTTGAAGGAACGATTTTCTTGCAAAGACAAATTCGGTCTCTTACAGAAAACTAATAAAAAAGTAATAAGGCCTGTCCCACCACTGGCTGATAGAGACTCAGATAGCTTAAAAATGATGCCACTGTCAGATAAGGGAACAAAATCCGATATTTCCATCACATTTTTTACACGTTCGATTGTTATCATCATCATCACCAACTCTCTATACGTCCCCACCGATGGGCTCGGAGCCTACCCTAAGTTAGGGTGATCAAGTAAGCGATTGTTAACAGACAATTTACAATTTGGTGGGACAGGCCCTTAATCTTCTTGTGTGTGTGTGTGTGTGTGTGAGGTGTTACCATGACGATGTTGGTGATGAGGTCGTCGGGGTCGAAGGAGATCTCGTCGGGCGCGCCGGCCTGGTAGTCGTAGAGCGCGCGCGCCGTGTAGCCGTCCTCCTCCTCGCCGCCCTCGCCCTCCGCCTCGCCGCCCTCGCCGCCCTCCCACCCCACCGGCGACACCACGATCGTGGGCTGCCGGCTCTGACGTCACAACTCACTATGTACTTCGTGTCCAATGTGTCAGTTTTGCTAACCATACATATTTATTCAATCTATCTGACAAAAATAACTATATACAAACACTAGTTGTTGCTCTCGACTTCGCCTAAAAACATAGGCTATATTACTTAGTGATAACATAGCTTTTTAATGGTGTGAGTTTTTGAAATCGGTGCAGTAGATATTTCAATACATACAAAAATCCAAATCTTTTATATATTATGTGATTTTAAAAAATCTATTACCATTAAAAAACTACAATATCACTGAGATAAATAGGCTATAATTATATAACTATATTTTAATTTCACGGGGACGAAATCGCAAGCAACGATTTGTAAAATACAAGTTTAAAAGACGGTGAAAGAGCCTGCTTTAACATGTTCCCAGTGTAGAGCTACAAGACTGGCGGCTAGTAGGAGCAATACCGCTTTATCTGATAGATGTGTCCCGGAGGCCCAATTTTGGTGCCTTTCTAAAGTAAAGGATGGCAGTCATTCGCTTTTTCGGCGAATTTAGATGGTCATTCACTTGTTTGCAACCTTACCATATACAAAAAGATTTACAATTTCAAGTTTTAAAGGCTAAGAAATAACTCCCTAGTCAAAATTATATTCGATAAAGTATTTTTGATGAAAAAGTAAAAACGTATCTTTTTCTTACCTCTTCTTTTTCTTTATGTTCTTTGGGTTCTTTAGGTTCTCCTACTAATGTAACATCAGGTAAGTTCGTTAGTTTTACTTCTTCTTGGCTCTGTTTCACTTCCGTCTCAATTTCTACCTTCTCTTCTGCTTGCTTCACTGCTTCTGGTTCACGCTGTATTTGTTTGGGAACTATAATTTTCGGTTCTTCTTTTTGTATCGGTGTCTGCGGTTCCTCGTCTTTATCTACGATTACTTTGTCTTTTTCCTGTAAGCATATAACGGTTTGATATTTTTGGAAACAAAACGAAAGTCACTTTTATGGGCGTCACAGCCATGTTATGCTTTAATAAAATGTAGTCTTCATTACCTCTTATGTTTTCTTCCAATTTGCACAGAATAACCTTACCAATATGGCTGTCGTGTCGTCGAGCAACACCCTTATTTTTGACATCCGACTACTATCCGATTATTAACATAACAAGCAGAATTACGACATTTTAAAAACATGACATAAATATTTTAAATAATGTTTTGGATCACAATTACAAAGCTTATATTGTTATTTCAAATTATGACAAATGGTATTGATTTATAGCACAGACTAAATAACCTTCAAGAATACAGAATACATCAAAATAGTTAAAAAGCTAAAACTTTGTTATCTTCTCTTACCTTCTGTGTTAACTCTTTGTCCATCATCTGTCTCTCTTGTCGTATCTTCTGCACGGACTGCAGAGCTTCCTGTATTTATTTAATTTTTTTACAATACTATTTAAATTAGTACAAAATTGCTTTTACTCCAATTTAAATAATGATAAGGCTATTCGAACACAAGGCAACTTAAATTTAGGAAACGCAATATAATGTCATATAAAATCGTATAGTTAAAATAAAGGGAAATTATAATAAAAACATTAAAACAGTTTTTTTTTACATTTAAGCACTAAAACTTTGCAAAACCAATCCATAAACAATAACATTATCTCCATATATATAAATACTATTTCTCATTTCAATAATAATTTGCAAGTTTCCGTGTACGAGGGGCCTTATTTGATCAGTTAGAGTTACCTGTTCCTTCTCTTTGGCCATGTTTTCAAACTTGGCACGTATAGAGGAAGGCTTAGCGCCGCCAATGTCGGGCTTCTGTCTGCTGTAGCCGGAGCCCTGCACGTCCGCAGCGCCCATGTCCTCAAATCTATGTGCACATTTGTCCACTCTGTCCGTCTCCACACCGAACTTGCCGCCGAAACCCTACAAAATTACTTATAAATACAATATGTTAGCTAGCTACCGTGACTCCGTCCGAGTAGAATTAAAAAAAATTAAAATAGCCTATGTGTTCTTCCAGACTATCCTCTACGTCTATGACACGTCGAGATCCGTTCAGCAGTTTAGATTACAAACTAACAAACATCCATCTTCTAAACTTTCGCATTTATTATATTCGCATTTATTATTATACATCCCCACTGAGACTCGGAGCCTACCCTAATAAGGGGTGACTAGGCCATAGTCAATTTGCACTGCGTGTTGGTTGACTTCACACATATCTTTGAATTTCTTCGCCGATATATACAGGCATCGCCATGTTTTCCTTCACCGTAAGAAGGTCGGGTAAATAATGTACATAGTAGTTTTCGCCCGCGACTCTGTTCGCGTGGAATTAAAAAAAAACTAAGTAGCCTATGTGTTCCTCCAAACCATATTCTACGTGTGTGCCAAATTACATCAAGATCCGTTCAGCCGTTTAGGCTACAAACTCTAACAAACATCCATCCATCTAAACTTTCGAATTTATAAAAATATACTACGACATACAAAGGTATAACAGACATACATATATATTTATTTTTTGATATTTTTTTCCATTATTTTATTAGGGGCCGTCCATATATTACGTCCATAAATTAGGGGGGGGGGGTTGGTCTGCGGATTACGGTAAATGATAGATAGGAGGGGGGTTTTGAAATTGACGTCATTCTTATTTATTTATAATTTACGACCTGTTGCCCGCGACTTCGTACGCGTGGTATTAGAAAACATACAAATTATGAAAATTACAAAAAGCTACGTATCCCTCGGAAACCGGACATTTCTCGGGGATGAAGCTTATCCCATGTGTACTCCACACTTTGTTTTATATCTGTGCCAAATTTCAATAAGATATGTTGAACCGTTGCAGAATGATCGAGTGAACATTAAAAAACTAAATTAATGAATCCCACGGGAACCGTAACTATTCCAGGGATAAAAAGTAGCCTATGTGTTCTTCCAGACTATGCTCTAGGCTACAAACGCTAACAAACATCCATCCATCCATCCATTTAAACTTTCGCATTTATAATATTAGTAAGAAGTAAGATTGTTCACGTACAAAAAGATTATTTGTAAAAAGAAATTTCTTCCAGCACACTTAGTAAGTGAGACTGCAAATGTGAGGCGGCTAAGGCGCGTACAATACTAAAATAACTCATAATATACAAGTAAAAATAAAGGTGATTCTTAACCAAGTGTTTTAATCATATAATACATTATTTTTCTCAAATCTGCAATAAGTAATGACGTCAATTTTGGGAAAGGGGGGGTCATTAAGAAATGACGATAGGATGATTGTAGGGGGGAGGTTTAAAGTGTGAAAAAATCGATGACGTAATTTATGGACGGCCTATTACATTTTGCATCATTTTTTGTGTTATATTTGAAGAGATGTACACATGGTGAGGCTTATCAGGGCAAGCGCGACCTTCAGCAATGAAGAAACGAAGAAGAAGAAAAAGAAACATGGTCTGTGTACCCTCTTGTGGTCGGTCTGGCTGGCGTGCGCGGGCGCGCGCTGCACGTGCTCCCAGCCGAGCGCGCAGGCGTCCTGCCGGTCGCGCTGCACGCCGAACTTGCCGCCGAAACCTATCGCGTGGTCTACACAACAAAACACACATAAAAATGACAAAAAAAAACAAACTTAAAACTGAATTCAAAAATTGCTTGCCCTTTTTAACTATCGCAGTGGCAATACTATCCTGGAAGTGTTGGAAAGCTTGCACAGCCCCGTCTAATAAAATGTAATTAACTAGCTTACGCCCACAACTCCGTCTGCATGGGATTTAAAGAAAACGAAAGTGGATAGCCTATTCAAACTATCCTCTACATCAGTACCAAATTTCATCGAAATCCGTTCAGCCGTTGAGGCTACAAACTCTGACAAACATCCATCAAAACTTTCGCATTTATAATATTAGTATGATTTAATTTACATGTAGAATGCTAACTTAGACTAAGTAAAATTTACTAACAAAATAATGAATGTATATCTCTAAACATTATAATAAATAAAAAATAACCACTGCTATTCAGTTTTTTTAATTTTGTTACAAGTTTTGATTTTTTTGTTGTTAGTGATCATGCGAAATTGTCTCAAGCGAAATGTTAACTATGCTTCCTCTGTTCTATATTACTATAGTAAAGCGTAAACACACACTTCTTTGTTGCCTAAGATGTCAGCAATTACAGCACATTTTTGAATAATTCTGTTCTTTAGGCTATATATTTTCATGCCATTAAGCTTAGAGGGTAAAATTTTTGGATAAAGACCGTAATGTGGGAAGAGACCATAAGTTGCTGCCAACATCAAGGCAGGAAGGTTGTCATCATATCATGTCATTTTGACATTTGCAATTGATAATTTGACAAATGTAAACAAGAAAATAAAACTTTCATAATTTCATGCGGACGAAGTCGCACGGGAAATATTATGTATTATTATTATGTCGTATTGTATGGATCTGAATGCTGGGCCACCAAAGTTGCGGATGAAAGGAGATTGCATGTGGCTGAGATGCGTATGTTAAGATGGATGTGTGGTGTGACAAGATTGGATAAAGTTAAGAATGTGTACATTAGAGGAAGTTTGAAAGTAGCGCCAGTGGTGGAGAAATTGAGAAGCAAAAAGTTAGCGTGGTATGGACATATTATGCGACAAAATGATGGGGACATAAACCAGAAAGTGTTGAGATTGAATGTGGATGGCTACAAAGGAAGAGGAAGACCGAAGAAAGTATGGATGAATTGTGTGAAAGAGGATATGCTTAAGAAAGGAGTGGATTTAGATATGACGGCTGATAGAGATGTATGGAAGAGCAGCACATACTGTGCCGACCCTCCATAAGGGACAAGGGCAAGTGGATGATGATGATGAAGTCCCACGGGAAAAGCTAGTTTTGAATATATTTGATTGCTGTAGTGTAGTTGTGAGACCTGTCTGCGAGCGGTGCTGCTGCGGGGCCTCGTGGTGGTCCCAGCCGAGCGCGGCGGCGTCCTTGCGGTCGCTCTGCACGCCGAATTTGCCGCCGAACCCCACCGCGTAGTCCTTCTGGGAGGGGTGCTTCGCCACCTCCTCCTTGTGCTCCCACCCTGCCGCACTCTGGGACAATTCGTTTAATTAATTTAAAAAAAAACTTAATTTGTACCCAATATTCTTTAAGGTTTTTTTTTTATATTAATGTCAAATTTTATCAAAATCTAAGCTATTTTAGAGACTAGTTAATTCACATTTGTAACATTAAAAAGAGATTTTGTATCTTAAACAAAGAACATTCTACAGAATAAAAGTGTTTTAGACTATTTAGGTAATAACCAATAAACTCAAAACACTCAAACTATGTTTGTGGTAAGATTAAATATTTTACAGAAGCAAAGTATAAGGGCCTGTCCCACCGGTGGTAGATAGAGGCCCTGATAGTGTAAATATGACGTCACGTCAGATAAAATACAAAATTTCTGTCCCACC